ATTATATATTTAAATTTTATAAGAAAAAATGATGTAATAAATATACATCCAGAAATATATTTTTTAAAAATATTTTATTTTTTGTATATTTATATTTCATATTTTGAATTAAAATGTTTGGTAATATATAAAAATATAAAATAAATTTTTACCATATATAACATTTTATATATTTTCTCTTTATTTATTTAATTTTTATTCTAAAAATCATTTGCTGTGCATAATTTTGTTCATAAAAAATCAGACTAGTTTACTAGACTTTAAATAAACAATCAGCAAGTTATTTAAGTTACAAAAATTACATTGTTTAAAGTTCAATAGTGAAAATGTAAAGAATTTTCTATTTTCCGTTGCTTAAATCTCATTTGTTGAAAATTTTGTTAGTTCGATTTGTATATAAAGAAATTTGAATGCCTTTCAATACACCCACATGAAAATTCGTTGACTCCGCCCACAAACAGAAAATTCAGGCGAATGAGCAAAGATCTACTGGAAAGAGCTAACATGTGGGTGTGAGTGTGCTAGTATAAGTATGTGTGCATGCGTATATGGGTGTGGGTGTGTGTGTGTGAAGAGAGTGACGCCCCTGCTAGAGTCATATGCACCAATGACATGTGTGCATTAGAGACAATATAGTCTATATAGATATCGGTAGGAAAGTTAGAACTTTTTTAAAATATCATTAAAGAAAATAATTTTAATACTAACTAAGGATCAGTGCAAGAATCCCGAAGCAGCTTAGAAATCCTCTCTTCATATTTGCATACTCTGCTTATCCCTCTCCCTCTCACTCTCTCTCTGTCTCTCTGCTTAAGTATTCATGTATTTATAGTCTCTGTGTGATCCATGTTTGCTGTGTGTGTGTGTGTGCGTGTTGTGTGTGCTCTATTCACAAATACTTTGGATTTTCACTTGCAAGTGCTCTACCCTCCCACAAAAAATCAATTTAATTGTCGATCGGTCTTCAAGGCGAACGCAACGCGTATCGGTTTAAGAAACTGCATTAATATATAAACTAAGAGAAAAATATCTAAAATAAAGCAGAGTTTAGTGAAGTTTTGAAAACAACTAAATATATATAAGTATATACTAGTGTCTGCCACATCATTTATCATATATAGCAAGCCAAACAAAGTGCTTAAGGCGTTGTCCTGTGTCTCCTATAAATATGCTACCAACATCGTGCTATACAGGTCCATCAACTCTACAGGATAATGAGCAACTGGTCAACTCTTTGCTGGCCTGCCCAGAGTATCTGCGCATCGGTCATCCCCTGGCAGCGAATGCCGTCGGAGCTATCAATATGGATGGATTGCCATGCAACAATTTTCCATCTGCCTTCTATTACAATAATATGGATAATTTTCTGGCGCTACACAATAATATTTGGACTCTGCCCATCTCCTTTCTGCACAACAACCATCGACCAGAGAAACCGCCTTTCTCCTATATAGCCCTAATCGCCATGGCCATAAGCAGTGCACCCAATCAGAGATTGACACTAAGTGGCATTTACAAATTTATAATGGATAAGTAAGTACGATTAAGATATAAGTTATAGCTATAGAGATAGAGATACAGATAGATATGGATATAGATACATTTTGAAATAATAGATATATATGTGCCTATTTATTCTAGGATAGTCTATATCTTTTCTATTTATTCTATATTCCATATATTTCATATATTCTCTTTATTCAATGTATTTTATTTGATATTTTAAGCCACTACCTTCGGTTTAGATTACTTTAAAAGTGGATATTGTAAATAATATCTATTCTCAATCAAAACTCGAACTGAAACTAGTATTTCTATTAACTTTTTGAGTCTGAAGATATAAGATAGTATCCACTAAAATATAAATTTCACAAAAAATGACATGTTTGAATGACTGAAATATAATTAGTAAATTTGACAGCTTGACTTTTCTGATATATTCTTAAATAGATTCAAATTGAAATTTATATTAAAATTAGTCTCGAAGCTCTAAGGCCCACATACATTCAATTAGATTAGGAAACTCTAAAACTAGTTCTTTGTAAGGCTACAAGTAAGGTTCTATCTATATATTCTATGACCATCTATATATCTATTGTTCAAACAACAAATCTAAGCCAAATATAAGCGGGCTTTAGCCATATTATTAACAATGAAGCGAACCTTTTCATCCAAATTCTAGAAGCAAAAATATCTACAATAAATTTGTTTTTATTAATATATTATGTTTGAAGGAAGAACCAGTAATTAGAAATTCAATTATATATATTATATTATGTATATATAATTATAATAATATGTACATACATTATATTTTCTAATATTATGTATTTATATTAAATATTAAAGCAGTATCATCTGAGTTCAAAGCAAACTAAATCACAAATATCAAACATATCTAAAAAAAAAAATATAAAGCTCGGTGAATACAAATGTATATTAAAACTGGAGCTAAACTACAGTCCTAAGTTCAAACTGATTCAAAATTTCAAAACAAATTAAATCTATTAAGCACTAAAACAGTTTAAAGAAATTCTCGTTTCTTGTTTGTTTACAAGGCCTGTATAAATAATAATAATTGTGCATATATGTATTTAACTTGCCATAAAAATAATCATAATATATGAAAATCAAATTTTAAAAATAAATATACATATTATATTTATAATTGTCATTCATATATAAAAAATAATGTCAGAACGATTATTTGATTTAATTTTTGACGTCGCATTATTTTTGGCGCATTTCCAGTGTGGGTCGATAAACCAAACGAAGAGATTTACTATATCAGACTTAAAGCAGATCAATAGAGTATATAATTCTTTATATTCCAGGTTTCCGTATTATCGTGAGAATAAGCAGGGCTGGCAAAACTCCATACGGCATAATCTCTCGCTTAACGATTGCTTTGTGAAGGTGGCAAGGGATAAGAATACCATCGAGGACAACGACAGCGCTGGGAAGGGCAGTTACTGGATGTTGGATGCCTCCGCCACGGATATGTTCGAGCAGGGCAATTATCGAAGGCGACGTACCAGACGAAGGCACTGCTCCTCCAGCAGCAGCCGCTACGAGCGAGAGCCGGGCAAGGTAAGCGCATCGAACCTTCGATCAACAATTTTATCAACATTTTATACTTAATCAATTGCTATTTCCAGCAGGATTCCAATGCCAGCAACGATGGCAGCAATGGAGAACTTCGATCCTCAAGCGATGCCCTAGCTGACTTCGACCTGTTCTACAGCGATGGCAATGGCAATCCCGCCGCACTACGTCCCAACTACTCGGATCGCATCACAGAGCTGCATCGCCAGTATCTCTCTGTATCATTCGGTTTCAACAGCCTTTTCAACAACGAACCAACGGGCAGGAGCTTAAAGGACAGCAACTCAGCCGCCGACAGTCCGTGCTCGAGCAGAGCTGCAGAGCAGAGCGCAGCGGAAAGCGCCTTGAGTGAAGATCTACATTCCCCCAGCGCCTTTACTCCAACGCCCGCCGGACGAGACGCCACACTAAACGTTGATGCATTCAAAGGACTGCAACAGCTGCTGGACACAACGAATAGATCAAAGACGAACACGCTTTTTACAATTGAAAACATTATCGGCAAACCATAGCAAATAATTAAAAAAAACAGCTTAATTATAAATCCTGCTGCAAGTCAATAAGCACATTACTAATTACTAAATCATGTAGGAATTAAGGTTGCAGGAAACAGAGTGAAGACCAACAATTGAAAACATAGTTGGCAAATTGTAGCAGCTATTCAAAATTGTAAAATTATAAAATTTGTTTTAAGCTCATAAACCGAAACAATATTAATTAAATTACATAGGATTTTCTTTTAACTTGTTTCTTTTTATTTCTCGAGTATAAAACAACTCCTCAATTTCCCCATTAAATACATTTATTCGGGCTTCTTAGCCGAAACCTGAATAGGTTTCTTGGCCTTCGCTTGAACGGGTTTCTGGGAACGCAGAACTGCAGAGGCACGACGAAGAGCAGCCTGAAAAAAGTGGGGAATGCTTTTAGAAATGATCCAAAGAACGAGGGAGTATCAATACAGGATATATATATATATATATATATATATATATATATATCAGTAAAAATCTCTCTACACGTCTACTTCTGCGATCTTGGTAGTATAAATTAATTTCATCACATAGAGAAGTGGGTATATAAAAGCAATTCAAGCCGCATTACCTGCAAGTAAACAAAGAATATTTTATGCATTAATAATTGATAGTAAAAAAATAATTCATCATTAATTTGAACTTGAATAGAATCAGATTAAGTTGTCGACACAAGCTTTCAGCGATCTTGGTAGTTAATATCATCACAACATAACAAATTTGTAAGCTATATAAAGTTGTATTAGACATTTATGTACCTGTGTCAAATCCTTGCGGTATTTGGTACCAGTTAAAAGGTTCTTCAGTTTCTTCAGGGAACGACGGGGACCAGCCTTGAAGTTAACGCGCACCGTATTCTTAGCAGGACGCTGGCCATATTTGCCCTTCTTCAAGACAGTAGTGAAGCCTTTCTTATCGGCAGCGGGCACAACGCCAAGAGTTTTCTTATGCACAATACCGCTGTAGCGATAAGAGCTCACATTAGCCAAGTTATTGGGCTCCTTTAAAAATATTTTTAAAAAAATATATCATTGTGTTAGTAAAAAACTGTTTCTTTACAATTCACCATATATGCTGTTTGCCAATTATTTTGTCAGATTTAAGTTACTATCATGTTGTATTCAAATATCATTGTGAAAGTTTAATTGAAAACATCATTCAGAAAAACAGAATTATATCGAATTCAGATTCGATTTATACTAACTGTGCTGAAGGGTTTCTTCACATCGCGCTTCTTCAACAAGAAGGCGTTGTTGTTGCGAATGATCAACCAATTGAGGTGCGAAGAGGTTGCCATCGTACGTCTACAAGTAAATGAAAAGGAACATTAATAGCAATTCATAAAGTACAGCAAAATCATCTTTTTAAGCCTTTTTCAGTCTTGGGTGATGAATATAGTCTTCAAGAACTCTTCTGTCAAATCATTCATCAGTTTAGGGTTTACTAAAATCAACAATCTAAACGCTTTGCTTACCTTAAATTAGTAATTGAAGCAGCAATGGACGCATACATGAAATAAAAGTAAAATCAGTTTAGTAATATATTCCAACCAGAAGTTCATTATATTTTTGACGAGTGGCGTCAGTCTTGGGTGATGAATATAGTCTTCAAAGAACTCTTCCGTTAAATCGTTCATCACTGAAGTAACTGTATACCATTCATTCAATGCAACATGTGCTCACCTTTAAGTCGATAAAAAGAATTGAATAGAGGCAAGGAGACACCATCGACAGAGGCAATATGAAATGAGAAGATATTTAATTAATTACATGTTTTTTACTTTTAACAAATAACTAGCTTTTAAATAGTTTCGTCAGTCTTGGGTGATGAATATAGTCTTCAAAGAACTCTTCCGCCAATTCATTCATCATAGAATACAATGATGTGCCAACAGCAACAGCAGCCACCATACACGTGTGGAGGTTAACACGAATGTTTTACCTCGAATATTAATCACAAATGGAGCCATATATATGCTGAACAAGTCACGCGTATAGTAGTTAAACATAACTACTATGTTATTATGCTGTTCACTACACTGTATAAGCTATAACTTAACCAATTCAAGACATAATGCAAAATGCCCACCTTTTCTCGTTGAAAGACAAGCAGGAAAGAAATATGGCAGACACAGCGCAAAGTGAACTTGGCTGCGATTAAGCATGCAGACTTGCAATGGAACATATATCGATATACATCAATCAACCATCGTGTTCGACTTGCTGTATCGATACTTAGAGCCATCCCTACTTGTCAGACACATTTCCGAAGCTCTATTCGCAAAATAAAGTTAAATTACAGTTAAATTCAAGTAAAGAATTGTATTAAAACGTTTCAGACAGTTTTTGTTTTAGGCTGTGGTTTCTTTTTATTGTCGTATGTCCATCCAGAATTTAAACACTCGTGGTAAGCAGAGTTAAACTACACGTTTTAATTTCCCCCACTCCATACGCTCGTAATTCACACACATGTACATGTATGTATGGACATAAAAATGGCTGCTCACTTGGGCTAGTCTAGTCATCAACGTGAAGTAACATACATACAAACATACATATTTATGTAAATGTATGGGGACGTGGGCATGCAGTACGACAGTGATTAACAGATTTTACAAGCATGCATATATATATGTTTCTTTGTTTATATATATTTTAGACCCCTTTGCTGATGCAATCAAGGGCAATGATGATGATATTCAAGACGGACTCGTGCACATAAGAATCCAGCAGAGGAACGGTCGTAAGACATTGACCACTGTTCAGGGCTTATCCGCAGAATATGACTTGAAGAAAATAGTCCGCTCCTGTAAAAAGGTCTTAAATCGATTTTGAATTTAAAATCATTTATATATTAATTTATCGAATTTTTTTGTGTCTAGGAATTTGCTTGCAATGGGACTGTGATTGAACATCCTGAGTATGGTGAAGTTCTGCAACTGCAGGGCGATCAACGTGAAAACATCTGCCAATGGTTGACCAAGGTGGGACTAGCGAAGCCTGATCAATTGAAAGTTCACGGCTTCTAAACTAAATGCCAAGGGAGAAACAAAACGTGTGGATATCCATACAAGTCTTACACTACACACATACCTACACACATATATAAATATATATATCTAACTTGCTAAAGTTCTTGTTCCGAATAACTACAAATCTCTTGATAAAAACAAAAAGAAAAAACATTTATATAAAGACAAAAGCAATAGACCATTAACTGCGAACAATGTTAATCATACAAGTTAAATAAAATTAAATGTTCATTTTAATTAAGTAACCGTGTGTATAGAATCTACTTGTAATATATAAAATCATTTATTGGTCAATTTAATAACCACTCGTAAGACTTGTATTCTAACAGTAAATAGCAACTACAAGGTTACAACGGCGTCAACCCTGAAGCCGCCATGTTGATGACGTATTTCAAAAAAATATCGAAAGATATACGGCATCCCTACTACTCATGAATATCAATTATTATTTCATATATTTTTATATTATGAATACACTTGTTAGTCATAATAATTATTACTGTGTGTTAAATACTTAGAAAACATCAAAAATTAATAACTGTCATCCAAAGCTAATGCATATTGTAAATGAATCGATATATTTATAAATCCATTTATATTCAGGTTTCGACAATATTCATATAGATTTTAATATTAACCCAGCCAATATGCAATAGAGATTAAACTTGTAAATAACGCGCCCACCTTTTTATACGGGGAACATCCCGTAAATATGTCGAATTACTTGGCTTCACATCGGTAGTCAATTATCGATATTTTGGACCCATCGTGCCTCAATCACTGCTTCCTCGAAAACTATCATTATCTATCGCTTGACCACCACAATCACACATTGTAGTTTTGACGGCAGCAGCAAAAATTGTAATTCACAATTTAATTTATTTAATTCATTAGATGCACAAATTAGGCTGTGTATTTTATTAATTTTTTTTTCGTAAAAAACAAAACGTATAATTTTGTGTACGCGCACAACAGGGAACATCTGGTGTTTCTCATAGCAATTGCAATCGCTACGAGTGCCCTGGCCAGAACACACATAACAAGTGGTTTTCAATTCATTTCGACGGTGTACCAGAAGAGCTGCAACCAAAAATAATTGCTGGAGTAAAGAAATATTTATCTACGTGGTGAGTACAGTTACTTGTGCGATTTCGGTTTGTGACATCTATTCCATTGGTGATATTTAAACGCCCTAGCTCATGCATTTTGTTTAATTAGCAAAAAAAAAATATATATATATATATTAGGTTCTCGTAATTCATTTCCAACGTTCCAACCCAGCGCCACTAAATTACGTGTGCTTTGCCATCGGTAATAACAGAAATAGCATTCGAAATAGTTATTACTTTAAGAAGAGAATCTAAAGCTCATTCGTCATTCAATATTCAAAAAGCGTGCGCCTGCTCTGCAGTTTTTTTTTTTGGCTTCGCTTTCTAGTTGTCAGTTGATTTTTGTATGTTTTTCGCCGCATGCAACCGTGCCAACATTTGGTGTATCGAAACGTTTGACAAAAGGAACGGCGAAAGTTTTTCTATAACGATGAGACGTCAAATTTTTTGGCTTTATAAAAAAATTTTCGCGTGACGAGTTCGTTGTCGATAATAACTAAATAATATTATTTAAAACATTTGCAACAATCAAGTGTTTCATTTAAACGACTTATGCTGGTGCGGCGGTGCAACTGGGACGTGAAAAAATAACAAAAAAAATCAATTGCTGGTTCGGTACTCGGGCTAAATTCAATTTTAATTCTGCGTATATTTGAGTGCAAAAAAAAAAAAATCAAAAAGAAAAAACCAAGGGAAGGAGGCAAAGAAGAAAAGCGAAAATAGCTACGGAAAAGAAAACTAAATGAGAACAAAAATTAAGTCATTGAAGCCACAGACACGGAAAACTAGACGACGACAACGACGGTCGAAGTTGGAAGAAAATGAGGCACGAGCCGAGATGAGAATATGAGAGGAGACAGCAATAGCAGCAATTGTGCAGCATTATAAATAAATAAATAAATAAATATATTGAGCAAAGGAAGGAAGGAATATCGGTGCATATTAGTGCGTGTGTGTGCATTTCGCGTATCGTAATCAAGTTTCATGCCATAAGAATATATCAAGTGAAAATCAAAAATTTCCAACTAAAAAAGCCTCAGCTGGGTGGCAGCAGCCGCAGCCGCAACAAGGCAACGTGTGCATGTGTGCGTGTGTGTGTGTGCGTGAGTGTGAATGCGAGTGTGTGTGTGAGTGAGCGAGTGCAAGACAGTGTGTGTGTGAGTGTGTGTGTGCCGTTTGTGCAAGTTTTTGGGGGCTGTCGGGTGCTCGTTTTTGAAAGAGGAGTTGAAAATAGAAGAAGAAGCGAGTTGTGTCTTTAAGTGTGTGTGAGTGAGCGTGCGTGTGTGTGTGTGTGTGGAATTCTTGACAATTCCCCAACATACGTTACCATGGAATATTACCTAGGTTAGTAGAAATTGCAGTACTCAATTTGTAAATTAAACAAAAATATGCGGGACTACATACATATGTATAATACATGATTATTTACCAATACAGTGGCACAAACAATGCCCCCCACTTTTACACATACAGTTGTGTACATGTATGTATATGTACCCATATATAGGCGAGTACATAAGCAGATATACATACATAAGCGTATGCTGCATTACTTTAAGGTGAGGCCAAAACGCAAAAGTTTTTGCAGCAGCCACATACCCCACGCCCTTCCCTTGTTTTGTGGTTATGTTTAGGATCAAATTAGCTGGTGGCGACTGTTCATTTATTTGTTTTTGCAATGTACTTACTCAAATACAAACACGCATACATACAGACATATATATTAATATATATAAAACTGAAATCCATAAGAAATGCGTCTAGCCAGCCAATGTAAGTCGTATTGAATTTTTAGTGCCCGATTGGATCCTCTGCTTCCAATTACAACGTACACTTTGAAAATCAGAAAATTGGGGTATTTGAAGCAGCTTCTCAATGTACTTGATACTGTATACTCTAAAAGCCTTATACATAACAAACAAATATTAAAAAACAAAAAGTACACTAAATAAATGTGCTTTTAATTTTAATTACACTTTTCTGAATACTCATTCTCGACTACTCGGGTATACCAACTAAGCAGATTCTAAAGCGCTATGTATTTTCTTTTTCTTTGTGATTACGTCTTACTAATTGATTTTCTCTTGCCCATTTGCAGGAGGTTACGTCTATATGAATGGAGATGCAGTCAAAATTCAACCGCCTGTTTACACCAATGTTCCTGTTGAAACGGCTATGTTAGCCACAAATCTGTTTGGCACCACAACGCAAATTGCAGCTCCGCAATCAGCAGCAGCAGCCGCTCACATACCGTTGATTACAGCAGCAGCCGCTGTAGCAGGTGGAGGCACAGGAGCAACAGGAACAGTAGGAGCACCACCAACAGTACAGCCCGCGCAGCATCCACAACAACAGCAACCACAACAACATCCACATCAGCAACAGCAGCAACAACAACAGCAGCAGCAGCAGCAGATCATTTCTCATACGCACGCCCACGCTGTGGCAGTTGCCGCTGCAGCTGCCGCACAGCAACAACAATCAGCGCAGACCATCCAAACGGCAGTTACGCCGGGCCAAGTGCATCTGCAGACGCATCCAGTACAGCATTTGCAGCAGCAGTACGGCCATCATCCGGCTCAACAGCCGACGCTGCCGTCCACTGGCGATAGCATTCAGGCAAATCACGCAATCGACAATACTGAATACGCCATCATGAATGGAGCCATTACTCAGACTCAAGATGGCAACCTCGTCTGCTATACAACAGAGGCCCTCGTACCTGGCGTAAACAATACGAATTTAGTTGCACTCGAGCAGCAGCAGCAGCCGCAGCCAGAACTACTCCCACAGCATCAGCAGCAACAGCAGCAGCAGCAGCTAGCAGCTGATGAATGTGGAATGCCATTGGACAAGCTAAAGCAAATGCTGGCCACACAGCTGGACTATTACTTTTGCAGGTAACAAACTAAATATTATACACTAAATATATAGCTAATTAGAACCTATTTTACAGAGAGAATCTGGCAACCGATACTTATCTGGTGTCCCAAATGGACAGCGATCAATATGTGCTCATTAAGACAGTGGCCAATTTTAATCTTGTTAAGAAACTAACAAAGGACATAAATTTGATTACCGAGGTGCTGCGCGAATCGCCCAACGTTCAAGTGGATGATGAAGGTTTGCGCGTGCGCCCCAACCACAAGCGTTGCATCATCATTTTACGTGAAATATCCGACAACACACCACTCGATGACGTCAAGGTAAACGAACGAACGAACAAACGAGTCTACTGATGCAGAAATTAAAATCAAAATTTAATTACGGGTTCCGCATAATTCACATTTGAATTTAAATATTTATGATCATTACGCTCCGAGTATATATAACTATAGAGTAAATGTACTACTTGTACTTACATATTACAACTATATGCTAATTATATACTCTTAGATTATGCATACTATTTATAAATTATATGGATGCCGTCTGTAACTTGCTCATATTACCTTAATCCCTTACAGGCGCTGTTCAGCAGCGAGAGCTGTCCGAGACCCATTGCCTGTGAGTTTGCAGCAAATAATTCGTGGTATATCACTTTCGAGTCGGATGAGGATGCGCAAAAAGCTTTCAAGTATTTGCGAGAGGAAGTCAAAGAGTTTCAGGGAAAGCCTATAATGGCGCGCATCAAGCCCAAATCGTTTATCAACAGAATAGCTGCTGTACCAAATATCAAGAACGGATTTCGTCTCAATTCACCGCCAACGGCCACAGTCTATGACCCAGCAGCTGCAGCAGGAGCAGCTGCAGCCGCTGCTGCTGTTAGCTATAATGCGGCACCACAACGTTTCGTCTATGCGCCCAATGGTGCGCCCTTAACGACAGCAGCGGTGCCGTACAATGCACAGGTGTTGATTGTAAGTGTTGCAATTAAATTTATCTACTCATCTAATATCTTACCTCATTGCAGCCCTTTCAGCAGCAACAATTCTATACAGGTCTAATGGCTACACCTTGGCCAACGACCACAGTGGCAGCAGCCACAGCGGCGCAAGGTCAAAATTTCTATGAGTTTGGCAATATATTTGCTGCCAACGGTCTAGCACCGCAGGCCGTTGCGGCCAATTTCACAACTGCACCACCACCACCCACCACACAAATTGTCAGCAATAAGCCGCAGGGCGGTGGCGGCGGTGGTGGCGGTCGCTACAATAGCAATCATCGCGGCAATCCTAACAATATAAGTGGTACTGGAAATGGACCACGTGGCGAGCCGCGCAATAAACCACCGCGTAATACCCAGCAGCAACAGCAAACGCCATCGCATAATATTATAATGCCCACGGCTGTGCGTAGTATCAGTGTGGTACCAGCTGCCGTACTCGATCCACTACAGCAAGTACCTCTCCAGCAACAACAACAGCAGCAGCAGCAACAGGTGCAACAGCATCAGCAGCAGCAACAACAACCTGCAAGCCAGCAGGTGCAGCAGCAACAACAACAAATGGTGGCTACCAATTCAGCTGGCTCAGCGCGTTATCCACTGAAAAGTAATTGGAAGGGTGGCATGCAAAAGAATGTGGACAAGAGCTATGGTAACCATTATCACTACAGCAACCAGGTGCCAACTCTACCCAGCAGCCATGGCCACCATCAGTCTCAGCAGCAACAACAGCCACAAGCCCATTTTATATTCCCTGCGGCCAGCACGACACACTCCACCTATGCGACTAGCTCACAGCCAACACTTACACCTCAGTCTGGCCAGCAGCAACAGCCGCAACAGCAGCACCATCCACAAATGGTGGTACATGCCGCTCAGCCTATTGAACTACAGGAGGCAACTGCCGGGGAAAATGTTGTAGTTGTTGAACATGCAACCAGCTCGCAGCATGGTCGAAGCAACATCTCAGCCAGCTCCTCTTCATCGCTGGCCACTTCCATCGGCGGCAAGGAGCCACAGCCGATGCATTGGCAAGCGCGGCCACGACGTCGTCGACGTGATGAAGATGGTAGTGCCCTCAATTATTCGCCTGGCGGTCGTGTTAATGTAAGACTGGAATAACTGATTCTGACTGTGTATCGATTTACGTAACATTGTCTTATGTTTATTATATTTTAGATCTATGCTAGCTCGCAACAACAGTTGCTTTCCTCATCGTCCGCCTCATCCACAAGCAACGTTCAGTCTACGAATCGCGAGAGTCACTATAACACTCATGAATCGCAACAGCAGCAGCAACAACCGGCTCCGCCGCAAAATCGCGGTAATTACAAGGGCAACAATTACAATCCCAACTATCATGCTCAGCAGCATGCGGCTTCCATGTCGCACCATCATCATCATAACAATCACAATCACAACGCGCTGCCCTCGCAACAGCAGCAGCAGCAGCAACATCATGTGCCTGCTGCACAGCAGAGTTCGGGGCATAATTATCATCATCATCACCATCACAACTCTATTGGCAGCAATGTGGGTAATAGCGGCGGTCTAAGCGTTAGCAGCGGCAGCAACAACAATAATAACAGCAACAATAATAGTGGAAGCAGCGGCAACAATATGTCAAACAATATTGGATCAAGTAGCACCAGCGGAGGTGGCGCTGCTGGCAGCAACAATAGCGAGCGAGGCGGATTACATCATGGCATCAGCATGGGTTATCAGGGTCACAATGCGCATCAGCAACAGCTGCAACAACAGCAACAGCAACAACAACAGCAGCAACCACCCGCTCCAGTGCAGCCGCCGCAATTTGATTTAGAGGCTTCGGCTTTTCCGCCATTGCCTGCGACTTCGGCTCCGGCACATGGAGCACACCATCATCAGCATCATCATCATCACAGCAATCAGGCTTCCATGAATAACTCCAATAGCAACAACTCAACGGCAGGTGGCTTAACCGCTAAGCCACCTCCACCAACTCAAGCTCATCAACAGGGTCAGGCTCTACTCGAGTGCAGTGGAGGAGGCGAGGAGCACCGATCAAGCAATCACCCGAATACGGAGAGCAATGCTAACAGCAATAGCTCCAGCAACACGTCAACGGCTGTAGCTGCACCTACAGCTGCAAGCGGCAATTGGGCAACCGAGAATCGACTCGCAGATGTCGTACGCACGGGCAACAAAGGTAAAGCACGCAAGGACGCTGCTGCTGCTGCAGCACACAACAGACAACATCAGCAGCAGCAACAACAGCAGCAGCAGCAGCATTTGCCTCAGCACTATCAACAGCAACCGCAGCAGCAGCAACAGCAGCGTAATCTGGCCATTAGTCCCACGCCAGGAATGGTGGTCGTGGTGCCCTCTGAAGAGCCGGCACGCCCATTGGGCAACAATACTAAAAACTTTACTAAGCAGAGCTCTAGTAATAACCCGATCCATGTGATAAAGTGTATAACACCAAATATCAATGCCAGCAACAAGGCGACGACAACAACAGCTGGTGCTGTTGGAGAAGATGGAGCAGGAGCGGCAGCAGCAGCAACAGTCTCTGCTGCTGCTGGTGCTACTGTTGGCGCTGATAAATCAAACAAGACTGAGGATGAATTACATCCAATACACGGCAACAAGCAGCAGCAGCGCTTAATCGAGGGCTATGGCCAACAGCAGCAGCAGCAGCAACATATGACAAATGACTATGGGCATAATATATCGATCTCGGGCGCTGGCGCCTGCCTAAACGAGCTGAGTCTTACCAGCCAGCACCACAAGAAGCAGCAGCAGCTGCTATCTGCCACCAAAAAGGAGCTCAACAAGGATGCCAGCAAACACAAAAGCGTCGCAACCTCCACCTCAAACTCCGCCTCCTCCAATTCAGTGTCAACAGAGAATATTGCTGCTGCAACAGCTTCTAAACTGAGCTATGCACAGGTGGCACAGCATCATAAGGCAGCCTCGGATAGCAAGGATGGTGGCGCTTTATCTCCTACAACCACGAGCCACAAGCTTGAATTAGTCTTTGGGGATGCTGCCGACAAAATCGCATTGACTGTAACAACAGATAAACGTCTGGCAGCAGCTCCAACTGCCCCGCAGGTGGGCAAAGGCCATACTGGCGGGGCTGTTGCTGTTGTTACCAAGGAAAAAGGTATATAAATTATTTACCCAATATAACCGATACATACTATTACAATTTTTTTTTTTTTTTTTTGTTTTGTAGACTCTGCTCATTCGCGCGAGTCGCGTTCAAATGCAGCGCAGATTGCCGGCGCCTTGCGTCCGCAGAGCAAAGAGAAACCAATGCAGCAGCAGCAACAACATCAGCATTACGGATCTGGTTCATCCACTGATCATAATACGAACACCGGCGGTGGTGGTCGTAAATCTAGAGCCAATAACTCTTAAAAGAAAAGGAAGTCGCCGAATCCGCGACAAATGTGAACTCCAAATCTTTGCTAGCCTTGATGCAGTAAGGTGCATCATTAAAAAGCTAACCCCATCATCCAACTACACACCCCTTCTGTACATAAATTCCATGTGTAAATACAAGCAAACGCCGTTTTTTGTTATATATCTATAAGCGCTATATAGATATGTTTACGAGCTAACCAAGGAGGCATACATAAGGTTAGTATTAATATTTTTATACATCAAGTAACGCTTTCATGATTTCTTCTTTTGCTTTTACAGTTGTCGTCGCACTACAGTGATTGAAGGGCGACCAGCTTGGACCAGTTATCATATAATATAAAAGAGTAGACAAAGGAATAATGGTGCATAACATTAATGAAAACAAAACACACAAACACACACACAAACAAACAAACACACACACACACACACACACAAACGCACTCACTCATTCACACACACACACACTACGCATATACAATATATATATATATATGTATATATATATATATATTTATTTATTTATTTATATACAAATATATGTGTGTATAATCAGTTAAAAGTTACTTTACTGTAGCTTAAAAACAATAGTTACACTCACACATACACATATAACGTGTAAACATGTAGATTAGTGCAACGACGAAAAAATGATAAAGCATATATATATATATATATATATATATATCTATATATATATATATGTATATATCTATGTATATATATATACTTATATATATATAGAGAGAAAGATGTAACTTTACATGCCCAAGCTAAGTTTACAATTACGATTAATGTAAAGTATGTTTTGATTGGAATCAGCCAAGTTGCATCTGATCGAGAGATGTTAGCTAATTACCGAAACAACACAATAGCATTAATAATTATTATTAATAACTAATTACTCATCACTAGTGATGCTTCATGATGAATCGTCGTTCATTTTCATTTGCTTATTACGCTAAATCTTGAAAGAAAAGATTAAAACAAAAACAAAAGTAAATCTTGCATGACTATATAGCCTGTATGAAAGTTCTACATTTTATTTATAGAACCGGCTATATAAGCTAGTCCCATACAAACACTTGCATACACATACAAATACGCACTCACACCTACGCTCACGCATTATAATTTACACTTGTCAGTGAAGTCATTTGTTCTTTTGATATATAGCGTATTAGTTAACTTAGAACATTTGGGAATTTGTATTTGTACTTATTTCACTTCCTAATGAATCCTTGTACACACAAACATAGACTGGCACAGAGAAACACAAACACATACACACACGAACACAACTCTCGTATGATATGTTTATGTATTTATACAAATGCATATGGAAATACTTGCATACATTTTCAAATTGCATTTCTTTCACATATATAAAAAGGCAATTTTCTCAGTTTGATGGTTTCACACATTTTAAAAGGAAAACAACTACAAGAACAACAAAAAACAATTGATATTTAACTGCTATAACTAAAAAATTTTATAACGCGTAGACAGGAACAACTATTTAATATTATAATACAAAAAACATACAAAAATATTTTTGTATAAACAACGACACTAACAAAAAAACAAAAAGGTGCCATAAACTAAATACACAAACAACACACACACACACATTGAAATTTCTATTCGGTTTAGGAAAACACAAATAGGCATTTAAAATTATATACATATATATATTTATATATATATGTATATATATAGCCCACATACATATATCTATGTATCATTAAATATTTTTACATATGTTTTATCTCAAACGAAAAATTTACGAAAAGGTTTTTAACATATTCTTTAAAAAGTAATGCTCATCACTTTTTTTAAATTTTATAGTTTGCGTACATTATTTTTCTTTTGTTATTATTTGATTTTGTTTTTGTTCGCACAAAACAATTGCTTTACACTACTTTTTTATTGAAGTTAAAGTGTTTAGAAATGTAAATTTAACTTAAGGCATACAAATCGGCAGATGTTATGCTTATATATACATATACATATATATAAATATATATATAAATATATATAAATATATATATATATATATATATACATATATATATATACTACACATACAGTCCCTTAAGCTAATGCTAGCGTTAAGCGATATGTTAAGAGATAATTCCTCATATACAGTTAGGCATATGCAACAATTGACGAACGTCTCCTTCCAATTAGAAAACATAACACGCTAATTCTTATTGGGTTCACAATCCAATTTCTTCTAGTGCGAATGAGTTCTCTCAATTAAATAGTATACCAAATGCATCCTGCAAGCGCTATATATATTTATATATATGTAATCCTCAAAACCCAGTTCAATACGCATATGTATATATATAAATAAATATATATATATATATATATATATATATATATATATAATGTATGTGTGTGGGTGTGTGTGTGTATTCATTTAAAATAAATATATATATTTTGATTCTATAAAAACAATCGAATATGCTAAGTGCCTATACTATAAATATGTATATATATATATATATATATAAACTTGTATATGTATATATACTATTATATGTATATATACATATATATATATCTGTATATATATATGTATATAAACATGCCACAAACTTTGTATACTCGCCCCACTGAGTAGCCGCAAAGGTGTTTGCTTTAAGTTCACACAACTGCTGCCCCTAGTACATACTATAATTAAACTTTATTTGTTAAACCATTTAGGTCACGCAAGCAGGCAGACATTTCCAATTGAACCAACTCCGCTATGAATCCAATTGGAGATATTTTTTTAGCTGAATTTGTTGCAATTGAAGTAACTGCTGCTGCTGCTGATGATGATGATCACCCTTGCTCAGTGGTGTGCGCATACACACAGACTCACACACACACACACAGACACATACACACATATATACTCTCTCACACATACACTCTCTCTCACACACACATGCAAAATTCATAGTCTATAGTTGGTCTGCCTTCGTTGCTCCTATCTGTTTCCTCAACTCTCACTCATACATTGATTAAAATTGGTTCACAAGTTGTGTGTGCGCGCTGTACAGTGAAGATGCGTTATGATGGTTGGCAGAGGGAGTGTGTGGTTGGCGATGCCCAGAAGTCTGGCTTGACGAACGAGGCGTGGGGGCATTAGCTAAGCCTTTCAATGGGTGCTGTGTGATATTATGCAACTGCGAGAGTTCTTCAATTGCATGTAAAAAAATAAATATTATTTAAAAAAATAAACAAAACAAAAATAAAATGAGAATAGGTTGGAATACTGTTTGCCTAGATTTTGATAGCCGCCCTACCCCCCACCCTCAGCAACAACAAGAATCAGGCTGCTGGGACGATCGTGTGTTCCCAGAAAGAGAGAGAGCGAGCGAGAGAGAGGGTTTATAGAGTTAGATATGATATGATATGAATAATGGATGGAGAGATAAAAGGAAAAAACATTGTTGATGTTAAATAATTTTAAGGCAAACAAATAAATTAATTTAAAAAATGAAAATTGTTATTGTAAAGCCTCAGTTCTTAAGTTATTTATTTTTTAAACATTTAAGCAGCGCATATGACACTGGCAATTGACACATGACACCTTGTTAAACTATACAAAAGCAACCAAAACAGAAAGAAAATAATAATACTATTAATAATATATGTAACAATCTATATGCAACAACTATACACATATAGACACACACATTCAGCCAGAACTAAGAAAATTTCATTTCGTTTAACAAAATGTCGTGCAGAGTCATTTCAAATAGCTTTCAAGACATTATTATTATGATTATGATTGTATACCATTATTATTTATTATTGAAAGAGTATGCCTTTCACAGGGGCGGCAGTACGGATGCCACTATTATTTTTATTTGGCACTGCCTTAATAATATATATATAATATATGTATATATATATAAACCTATAAGCACGCTGCGAGGGAATATCCCCAATGAGTGCGCCTACTGCATTATCCATCATTTCTATTTGGCCACTGCCATCAATATTTCATAATAATTTTTACTTTTTATTTGCTCCTTTCATATTTTATTGTTTCTTCTTTTACGCCGCTTGTGAAGGGCCTTAAATTTAGTTAAAAACTTCTTTTTTTTGTTCAAATAAATTGCATAGGAAATGCTTACGCACATTGTTATCAACTAAAAACAAAACAAATCCAATAAGAAATAATACAAAGAGAATGTCTGTTAACGAGAGAGGAGGCGAGAGAGAGAGAGAGAGATAGAAACACATGTAATAAAGTATATAATTAATATTATTAATTGTACCAAAATTGATAATTGTAAAGATAAAAAAAAAAACAAAAACAAGAAAAAAAGGTTTGCATATGATTACACTATAAACTAAAAATGTAACATTTAACTAAACAATATTACCTATGCAGAAAGTATACATAAATTATATTAAACATTACCATACAACACCAACACCAACAACAACAACAAAACATCAATAACAACAACCATCAACAGCGTGATTCACTTTTTCTGTATACTTAAGAGTGAAATTTAAAGCTCGTTATGTAGTATATATATATATATTCGAATATATATCTAGATATATATATATATATAAATATATATACTTTTAACGGGCTCTAACTAATAAAAACAAAAGCTATAGGAAAAATGAAATGAAAAATCCATTCAATAACAGCAGACAAAAACAAAACAAAACAAAAACAAATCATAAATGCATATTTTATTTTATTGTATGTATCATATAAACGAGAATCAAATAAAAAGAAAAAACCAGAAAACAACAAAAATACAAGTAGATTAAATTGTAGTTAGACGAAGAAGAAATGGAAAAACGAAAAACCAGAAACGAAAACGAAAAAAGATTATGAAAACATGTCAAAAAAAAATTACAATAAAAACAACAGAAAACAGCAAAACAAAAAAGATGCTGTAAACAAACAGTTCGAACCAACTTGCTTCCAGGGGGTGTCAGAGAAATTAGCTATATATACACATATACAATGTTTGTATATATATATATTGATATGCGCAGTTAGTCGAAAAACTGTTAATGAAATTTACTAATGTTAATTTTAATTTGTTTTTTATTGCCAATATTTCAGACTACCCTCGTATGGATATACGCAGTCTAAACTGAAGATTAAATAAGTCTCGCAATAAAATGTTTTTATTTATTTTTTTTAATTTCTTTATTATATATAATTATTGCGATGTAAAAAGGCCTCTAGCTTGACTAAGTGGGTTTTCTCTTCCCAATCTAAATCGTTTACCTACTGCAATTCACGATTTTTGGTGTTACTACAAAAAAGTTATTCCTTATATATATACATTAGGCGATCTATAGTTCAGAGCTTTTTCTATAATTGGAATATCGCGCATAGACATTGTTAGTTCTTGGAATATTATACCTTTTTTCGGTTGTACGAAATGGATACAGGAGGC